CCCACACAGTAGGTGCTCATTTAAAAGACTGTTACTAAAATAGAACCAGGAGCCCCTCCCCTCAACTTCAGTGAGAAGAAATCAGGGTGACGACGGGTGGGCAGCCTCTGAGGCCCTGCTTCTCTCCCTTTCCTCCCAGGGGCTGTCCTCAGCAGTCCTGCCCAGAAGGCCAGAATCAACAGACCCCCGGAGTGCAGGGTCATGGGGCCAGGCCTTGGGGCCCCTGCCAGGCAGCCTCTGGAGCCCAGCGTCCGGGACTCATCACACCCACTATAGTGTTCCTCAGGTTACAGGCCCCGTCACGTACATCACCTCTCATCTGGGTCAAACCAAGGGTAAGACAAGCCCCCAGATGGGGAGGCTGCAGAAAATCGGGCTCGGGTGAGAAGAAACCAGGCCACAATTCAGCAAACCCTACAGCAGCGGTTCTCAACCTGTGGGTCGCGACCCCTTTGGCGGTCAAACGACCCTTTCACAGGGGTCGCCTAAGACCATCCTGCATATCAGATATTTACATTACGATTCATAACAGTAGCAACATGACAGTTATGAAGTAGCAACGAAAATAATTTTATGGTTGGGTCACAACATGAGGAACTGTATTTAAAAGGCCAGAAGGTTGAGAACCACTGCTCTACAGTGAAATGGGGAAAAGGTTGTAGTGGGGCAGGCGTCATGGCTTTGAACTTCCCACACCCATGGTCAACCACGGCAAGAGCCACTTGCTGAGACAGCATGTCCATGGGCGAGCCCGCCCCAATGGGCTAGGGGTGGAAGCATGGCACATGGAGGCGGATGGTGCCTGGAGGGACATGTGGGCCACCTCTGAGCATGGCCACCTGACAGGTGGCACAGCCTTGATGGTGAGCTGCCCGCCACTGTAGCATGAAATTGAGCTGGCGACTGCCTGTGCAGCAGGCCCAGAGCCCCCGCCGGCCACCGCTCAAGTCCGCTCAGAGTAATTAGGAACCGTTCAACGGTGGCACGGCAGCTTGGCCCAAATCAGGAGCGGGGCCTAATGGAGGGGAGCAGGCCCACGCTGAGCCTGGCGTGAAGGCACGTGGAGGTCAGCTGTCACCACACGGAGCAGCCCACTGGACAGGGAAGGGTGTGGGCTTTCCAACCAGGATGGCCCTGGCCCCGGCCCCTGGGGTGCAGTGGGAACCGGGGAACTTAATGCTCCACTAGGCCCAGTCCCTGCTCACATCCTCCTCCTGGCACCATTTTTTGTCCCCCAGCTTGATTGACATTATACATGACCATCAAAAATTGCATACAGGATGGGACAAAAGTAGGTTTACAGTTGTTTGTATGGAAAATTATACAATAATTAATAGATAATACAAGAGTAAACTGTTTTATGTACTCACAACTATAAACCTACTTTTGCCCCGCCCTGTAAATTTAAGTTGTACACCTGATGACATGATATAGGCTGTGAAATATTCATCACAAGCCAATCAACATGTCCATCACTTCACACCTTTACCATTTTCCTGGTTTTTCTTGTGTGAGAACAACTAAGGTCTAAGGTCTATTCTCTTAGCAAATTTCAAGCGCACTATCTAAAGCCGTCAGCGGCAGTCCCACTGCTGTGCACCAGCTCTCCAGAACTCACCCATCTTCGCGAATGAAACTCTGTAGTGAATGCCCACCCACTGCTCATCCCACCAGCCCAGCCCATTCAGACTGGTGTCTCCCCTGCACACAGCCGTGTCTGTTCCCCTTGCCTCCCACACCTGTGCTCAGGCTGTGCTCCCAACGCCCCCCACCATGGCTACACTTCACACTCCACCCACCTTGGACATTCCAATCCCAACCCCTGCCTGAAACATCCCCTACGACACCCACCCACCACCTCACTGCTCCCTCCCTCCTCTGCTCCCCCTGGAATTCTGCATTCGGTCCTACTTTGGACTCTTTGTTCCAGGTATGTGTGTCTGTGTGTGAGTGTGAGAGAAAGTGAGAGAGAGAGTGAAAGTGTGTGTGTGAGTAGGCATGAGTGTATGGGAGAGTGTGTCAGTGAGTGTACATGGTTTTGTGTGTGAGAGAGAAAGAGAGAGAGAGAGAGTGTGTGTGTATGTGTGTGAGTAGGCATGAGTGTATGTGAGTGCGTGTCATTGAGTGTGCATGGTTTTGTGTGTTTGTGTGTTTTGACTAGAACCAACCTAATATGCAAAGAATCTACTGTAGCACAAGTGTGACATGATGGTAGGTCAGCAGAAAGAGAGAAGTTAAGTGGGGCGCCCTATGGGGACGGTGCCACTGTGTCTTGTCGTGACCCTGACCACAGTCCCTATCTAATGGTTGTTAGACTGTTTGACTTTGGACAACACAATAAGGACCACAAAACCAGGCTCGTGTCAAACTCATTCACCAGCATCTCCCTAGCATCTCACATAAGGACACACTCTGAGTGCATAACCCATGTTGGATGGATGAACCAATGAGAGACAGACAAAGAAATGATCATCATGGGTCTTGGACTCAGATGTAGGTGAAATCTAATGCCACCTGTAACTAGCTGTGATAGCTGGGGCAGGTTGCCTGAGCCTTCTGGGTCAGGTCCTGTAAACTAAGAACCTCCTCTCTGTGTGGAAATTCAGTGAAGTCGGGAGAGCTGCTGGCACACGCTTGGGAAGGAGCAGATGGCTGATACACGGTAACCACCCCATTTCCCCTGCACCCCCTGTGACCTGGTACAATCCTGCGATCGAGCAGGAGCTGGCTACTTGCAAGGTGAATGCCTCATGAATGAATGCATGGGCAACTATCCCCCACCAACTCCTCCCTGCCCTGGGTCCCTGATCCAAAGGGAGGAACCTGTGCACCCCAGTTGGCTAACTTCCCACACCCGCCTCTGACAGCATGGTGCTTCTCCAGGCCCTCGGCCTCCCTGGCTCCATTCCCCACGCCCCTCACCTCGACAGATGTGCAGGTGGTAATGACGCTGGTCCCCAGGTTGGTGCTGTCACTGAGATCATCTGGCAAAGAAGGTGTTTTCTCCACCCTAGGGGCCTGGGTGGCTGGGAATGAGGGATTTTTGGGGGACAGGTTCACATCTGTGCCGTTGCCAAAGGCCTGGATGGCATTCCCTGTGGAGGGAGAGAGCAGGTAGACGAAGAGAAATCAAGGGCACCTCCATCACTTCTGCCCCTCGCCATCTCAGCCACTATGTTCCCTGTCACAGCCCAGAGCCGAGGGCACAGTGCAGCTGGTCCAGACTCAACTGAGCCGAAGCTCCCCTTCAGATACGAGGTCTCCCATGTGGAGAAGAAAATAGTAAGAGGGAGATTAAAAAGACAAGAGACCAGAGTAAAAAGAAACATAGGTGATGAGGAGTGCAGAGAGGTGAGGTGGGTGCTGGGAGCCAGCGTGGGAAGCCTGCAGGGAGGAGCGGGCCACGCCCAGGGCAGCCAGCACCCTCTTCCCAGTGACATTCGGTGCTGCAGACACGCCCACTTCAGAGCTCTGCCACCCCAGCCCCCCAGGCACTGGTTCCCCAGGCTCCTTTGCCACCTCAGGTGCTTCTAGGTCCCCACCACTGGCATTCCAAGGGCCCCAGACTCACCTTTATCCCTGAGTGGCCTCACCGACTCCCACACCATTAGTTAGCACTAACTCACTGAGGACTAAATTAATGGAACCTCTTGGACAAAACTGTCCCCAAGACTTAACCCTCTACCAAATGCCTAAAGAAATTCCCACCTCCATGTCCTCAAGCTCATCATGTCTACACCTGAACCAGGCACCACTCCCTTCCGTGTCCACACTGTTTTCCCGTGTTTCCAATCTGGAAGGTCTCATCTCTCCCTACCCAAACCCCCCAGTTCGCCTCCCTAACCACCCACTTGCCGCCATTTGAGCCCCTCCTAAAGCTCTCTCCCCTCCAAGTCTCCCCTCCACCCTCACTGACCCTGCTCAGGTCCTCAGCCATCACTGTCCCTCCCTCTGAGTGGATCCTCTGTGGGTCATTGGTCAGCACCACATCCCTACCTCACCCCTCCACACCGGGCCAGCGAGTGAACCTCTGAAATGCAGATCTGACCCGGAACCAGTGGCCCACACCACCACCCCAACTCCATGGGGACCACAGGATCCCCTTTGGGAGGGGGACTCCCCTCCTGCCCAGACAACTCCAGGCGACCCCGTGCTCTGTACCAAGGCTCCGTGGTCTGTGGTTCTCACAACTCACTCTGCCCAGGTGGACGGGCATGCCCTCCCTGCAGCTCCAGCTGACCAGTGGCCCTGTCCCTCAGGGGGTCACCCGTGAGGAGCCTCCAGGGGCTTCCTACGGCAGGCTGAGCCGGGCATCCCACCCTGGGCTCCAGGTGAGCCCTGTGCAGACCTGTCCCCCAACACGTTCCCCCCGGACTGTGACCACACGGACCTCAGTCAGGCTGAGTGCCCATGACAGGCACTATGACTTGTTTCTCTGCGTTCCCAGGGCCATACAGAAAGGCAGCGTGGACAGATGGACAGAAGGAAGAATGAGGGGAAGGAGGGGGAGGGACCTTCAGGGGGGAGTGGGTAGCAGAGGTGTCAGTCTGAAGAGATGGAGGCAGACAGAGCTTGTGGATCACCTTGTTCTCCAGCCTTTGGATTAGGAGTTTGATAACTTGAAAAAAAAAAAGTCACTGATTCCAATGGATCCTTAAAAATCGATCCCAAAGGGAGAAGTGACAGACAGCCGAGGGCCTCACCATGGGGCTGTCCCAGAGGACCTGTCTGAAGCTGTCAGCATAGTAGACCAGAACCCTTCAGCCTGACTTGACACAGGCTCACGGCCTCAGTGGTAAACTGAGGCTGGCCCGCCAACAGCTCGGTGTGACTCGGAGAGCCCAGCCACCGTCTCCGCAGGTGGCACCCTGCTGGAGCAGCCCCACAGGTCACTGGCTGTCCCGATGGAGGAAGGGCATGGCTCAGGCAGCCTCAGGGCCCCTTTGGGATGAAGGTGGGAGGGGCTGCTGGGGGCGGTGAGAGGGGGCTGCAGGACTTACGAAGGCAGGGGTTCTCGGTGAAGTCCCTGAGGAACTTCTCACACTCCTCCTCCATGTTCCCACTCCCCCGACAGCTGCACCAGGGGGACACCACGATGCCAGTGGGGCTGGAGTCCACGTAGTTGGGCGTCATGTCAAACCCTGGACAGGGAGAAAGGGAGGCAAAGGGGAGGGGAGCAGTGAGACCTCCTCTCTGGGCCCCCAGACCCCAGACACCAAGATAAGAGGCTTGGAAGCCTTCCTCCTTCCCACCTGCCCCCAAATACACATACATCCCAACTCATAGTCCAAACTCTGAGTGTTACTATTCCAGGGAACCATGGGGTCAGCAGGGGGCAGAGGGCGTGGGGATGCCCCCCCACACCCCCCCCCCCCGAGCGTGGCCCGTGCTTTCTCCTGGCCCCCAAGCAGAGTGTGTTCCGGAGTTCATGTGACTGGTCTCACATCCTGGGCTTGGGTCCCAGTGCCAACAGGTGAACCCGTGCACGTTACTCCACTTCCCTAAGCCTCGGTTTCCCTATCTGCAGCATGGAGATCCCAGCACCTCCCTAGAAAGTGCTGTTAGGAGAATTCGTCATGTAAACTGCTTAGTACAGCACCTGCAATGTCAGACCCTGCAACCAGTGTTACTTTTTCTTCTGATTTCGAAATCCTTGTAGGTTCCTCAGGCCCTCCTCCCCCATGAAACAGCCAATCGGGCCTCTGGTTTCCCACGGCAGCTCTAGCTGAAACCGCCACCAGGAAAGGCGAGTCAGGTGTCCCCCCACTGGCTGGAGCTGGGCCTCGGCCCCTGCCCGCTGGGCAGCTCGGAGTCACTGTGAGCCCGGGCAGGAGGGGGTGGCTTACCAATCATGCCCGCGTAGGAGCCCAGACACGCCTGATAATTGTCGGCTGGACAGCTGGTGAGCGTCTGGTAGGAGGCGTGACAATTGGCGTGGAAGTCCGCCAGCCGGGACCTGGTGTTGGGAGAAGACGCGTAGAGCGAACGAATTAGCGTGGCTGCCTTCCCTCCGGCCTCCTCTGCGGCACAGGGCTTCCTCCCAGCTTCCTGGGCTGGAGGGAGCCAGGGAGAGGGAGCAGAGGAACATAGGGCCACCGAGCCTGGGGCCCGAGGCTGAGAGCTCCTCGAGCAGTGGTTCTCAACCTTCCTAATGCCGCGACCCTTTAATACAGTTCCTCATGTTGTGGTGACCCCCAATTTCATTGTTACAAATTGAACATAATTAAAGCATAGTGATTAATCACAAAAACAATATGTAATTATATATGTGTTTTCCGATGGTCTTAGGCAACCCCTGTGAAAGGTTGAGAACCGCTGTCCTAGAGGAAGGGCTCCTGGAGGCCACACAGTTGAGGCACATCCACTCCGGATGGATGGTTCAGTCAGAGCAACAGGGAACCCGCAACGAGTGCACCAAACATGCCCGGGACCAAGGCAGGAAAGCTGGTGCCATCTCCTGCTTGGCCGCACTCCCGGTGACCTGCCAGGTCCCTCCACACGTCCCTCTTCCACCTGCAGAACGGGTATGTGAACCCTGCCCTAGCGGCCTCACAGGAGGCGGCGAGGTCCCAGGAGTGGCCCCAGGGAGGAACAAGAGTCCCCTGGGGTGAGATAGCTGGAGGGCGTTCTCACCCATCTCTTCTTCACCAAACCAGAGCACAGCCTCCCGGCTCCAAGCCACCAGCTTCCAGGTCCCACCAGTAGAATCGGCCTCGTCCCCTGCATCACCCAGTCCTCTCTGTCGGCACCAGTGACACCGCTTCTGAACTGTGCACACGGCCCTGTGCTCCCCTCGGCCCTGAGCCTCTTGGAGGCAGGCGCCTGACCGATCTGTCCTCCAGTGTGGAGGGTCCCATGGAGCCCAGGGCACCACAGCGATTCCCGCTCCTTCTTCCTTCTAGCCCAGTGCCCTGACACAGGCTGTCACATCAGCCTGGCTGGGCCCACCTCCCCTCCCCTCCCCATCACTGCCTCCTAGAGGCCAGTGCCCTTTGCCCCGGGGTCCCCGCGTATCATTTGTCTCACAGCAGCTGCAAGCCAGAGTAATAGGTCTTGTTCACTGCTATGTTCCCAATGACGGCACACAGTAGGACCTCAACAGATACGTGCTCAGTGGGAACACCACAGAAGGACCAGAACCCAACCCTTGACTCCCTATCCCAGCTCTTTCCACACGGTGAGGTTCCTCATACAATCATCCAGAAGCTCACCCTGAATTCAGCCCCAGGTTCTCCACCAGACTCCGTCCCATTTGAGGAAGGAGGAGAGAGAGAAACAGACCGACAGACCAGGACAGCCTGAGAGCACCACCCTCACAGAGGCGGCTGTGTGGGTCCCACCACAGGATAAATTCGGGTTTGCCTGGGGCCCCAGGTCCTGGGGGTGGGGGCTGGGAGAGGGAAGCTCTGCAGAGGCAGTGAGTGAGGGGGGTGGGGCCCGGGGTTCCCACGTCCGCTGTGCCCCTTGATCACAGGGACTTCAGGTGAGTCCTTGCTCCTTGGGAACTGAGTTTCCTTGTTTATCAAATGAATAAAACATGCTCTTAGTTCCTGGTTTAAAAGCTATTTCTAGAGTTTGAGAAAATGAAAAAGCTCTGGAAATGAATGGCGGTGATGGTTGCACAACCATGCGAATGCACTTCGTGCCACACACTGGACACTGAGAAATGGATACAATGGTAACTTCTATGTTATGTAGAATTTACCACAATTTTAAAAAAGGTGTTCACAGCCACCCTTTATCCCTGAACCTTCACAAAGAATCTGAGATCTGGCAAGCAGGTGTGTGATCGTTCCAGTTTACAGAGGAGGAAGCCGAGCCTCAACGAAGTCCAAGGTCCCGAGCTGCTCAGTGAGCCGGGCCTGCGTCCCAGACTTCAACGGGGCGGGTGCCCAGCTGGCAGGTCCCCTGCTCCTGCGCAGAAGTCTTCAATGTCCTTCCAGACCCAGCATCCTGCAGCGCTGGACACATATTCTGTCTTTCGCAGGAAAAGAATGGGACCCAAGGTTCTCTCCACCTCCCTCCTGCCCATAAATACACCCTCTAGCTCCTCCCCAACCAGCCCCCAAGCAGGGAAAAGCAGTTTTTCCAACCCAGCCTCAGCCCCCACAGGACAGGACTCCATAGCACATGGAAGACCAGCAGCTGTCCACCCCACAACCCAGCAAACGAGGCGGGGAGCTATGAGGGGGTGAGAGGGGTTAGCTTTGGCCAAATGTCTCCTCCAGAGGCCCCAGCACTGAGGAGGACTGCAGGTGAGCAGCATCGGGCAGAACCCAGCTCTGCAGGGATCACAAGCAGAGCCGGAGGCTCCCATCTCCTTCCCGCCAAGGAGGCACCCAAATACCATCTCTTAGCCAAAACACAGGAGTCTGTCCAATGCCATTTGATCACAGGTAGGGCCCGTCTCCCTCCTGCTGCTTCCCCAGTACCCCCTGCCGTCCTGCTCTATTAAGTCCTTTCTGACTGCCCCCGCCTCTGTATTCCAGCTGCAGACAACATCTGGGCCAGGCAAGCAAATACTTAATGGTATAGACATTTACTGCTGTTGCCCTGTTGGTCTCTCCAACTGTAACCCACGTTCCCAAGGGGCAGGCCCTACTGATTTCTTCATCCAAACACCTTGGGTCTGGATGCGGTGGTAGATACCTACCCATCCTTTCTCCAAACACGTGCTGAGCCCCTGCCACATGACTGAGAGACTGAGGGTGGGAATGGCATGCCTGTCCCTGTAATGTCAGAAAGGAATTCCCAGGGAGTGGGGACTGGGCAGAGTGCCCACCAGGCCAGGCCACTCAGCAGACCCAAGGGCCCCCCGCCCCCCGCAGGTGAGGGAGCCTCCCAGACAGCCTCTTCGTGAGGACGGGCGGGCAATCCGCTGCTGCAGAGGGAGGGTCTGTCACCAGGCCACGCTCTGCCCATCCCTTGCCCGTGATGCGGCCTGTGCTCAGTGTCCCCAGTTATCCAATGGGTGAGCCATACCCGCCTCCCTCCCTCACAGGGGCCTGAGAGACGTGGGCACAGAGGAGAGGCATCAATCACCCTTATCTCCCCTCCACCCGGTGCTTCGTCCCAGCACTGTGCCTGCCACCGGCAAGTACACACCGGGAGCAGCTTTCCCTGCATCTGATAAAAGAAAAAGACACCTGTTACCCTGCCAAGGTGGATGTGGGTCCCATGCAAGGCAGTGTGAACAGAGGGACAGTTCCCTCACCCTCCCTCGCCTCCAGGCGCCCGGCGCCCTGCTGGACAACAGGTGAGGGAGTCCTCCTGACCCCACATCACTTGCTCTGCCACACTGAGGACACAGGAGGAGGAAGCAGGCCCCCGAAGCCAGGCACCATGCACTGGGCCCCAGGGTAACCAATACGAAGGGCTGCCTTGCTCCCCTGAGGCCATGGCCTACTTCTTTCACGGCAGGCCACAGCTCTATCCAGAGCACAGGGAGGGGGAGCAGGCCCAAGACCAGCAGATGCGAGAGGAAGGGGCGGGGGGTGGGGGGGAGCAGGCAGCCTTGGCAGACGAGAGTGGCAAATGGGGCCACTTAGGAGGCTGTCCCGTCCAAGACTCCAGGAGGCCTTTGATTGCTCAGGTCCTCTCCTCCCCGAAAGACACACTGAGGTCCCCGGCAGCCGGAGCACTCTGTCAACACGAGAGCACATGGTGTCAATTTCCTTCAAGCCACGACACACTCGACTCCAACCACGACACACACCAGCCCTGGTAGGTGCCGTCCCCAAGGCGATGGTGTCCTTGCACATGCACGCGAGCCAGCTGGGATCGCTGCACCATTGCCGGGCCAGGTGCCACTCCCCCTGCAGGTGCCCTCGGTCACCTGTCTCGTGGACTCTGCTCTCCCTGCCAGGACAGGCCTCCCTGGATCAGCCCCATCGCTTCTCAGATGTCTTCCTTTCGCAGCCCCCATAAGGGAGATGGCATCAAAGAAAGCAGGAGAGAGAGAAAGACAAGCAGACCACGAAGAGAGAAAAGCAGAGAGCCAGCAAGAGGACCAATATGAACAGAAGCCAAGTCCATCTCGCCGAGATCAAGTGAAGACTGCCAAGTGAGCGCGGCAGCAGGTGGGTCTGTCCAAAACACAAACCCTCTGCGGGCTTGTTTCATGTGCAGCTGTAGCCCATTCAATCACAGGAAATCAGCGGAGAGACGGAGAGGGACACTTGACCCCCAATTTGATTAAACAACTGCCAGATTAAATGCAGGACACCCATCTGATTTGAATTTCAGATAAGCAATAATACACCTTTTCAGTGTGAGCATGTCCCATGCCATATTTGGAGCATCCTTACATTAACCAGTATTCCATTGTCTATCTGGAATTCAAATGTAGCGAGGCACCCTGTGTCTTATTTGTTAGACCCTGCAATCCTGTTTGATGGGCAGATTTGCTCCTGCAAAGTCAAGATGTGTGAAGACCGACCCTCACAGCAGAAATCATGCAGAGGGGGTGCAGGGGTGCATGGACTTCCTACAGGTCAGAGATTCTCAAAGTGGGGTCCGAAGACCAAGGCGTCAGCTGGGAATTTGGTAGGAATGCACATTCCCGGGCCCCGCCCCAGACATAGCAGATCTGACATCCAGAGCAGGGTCCAGCCACCTGTGCTTTGCCCAGTCCTCCAGGTGACCTGGAGGCAAGTGCCGCTGGGGATGTGGCAGCTGCACAGGCTGCAGAGCTGGTCTCAGCTTTCCCTGCCCCGACTCCAGGCCCAGCCAATGAAGAAAGTGATGCTTCAGGCCACAGCTATGGTTACATGGCAAAGAGTTTGCATGTTTATACACACACACACCTACACACACACATACACACACACACACACACACACACACACACCTGTCCCCACACAGACACAGCTACACTTGGACACGCCTCTCAGTTCCGTGCTTTGTCTTAATCAAGAGAAAATACAGGTGCCAGTTATCAATGAGATACCCCTTAAT